GCTAAACAAAGGTAAAAATAATCGAATACAAATGTGTCAGATATTATATCACGAATTCCTGGATTATAGAGCATCAGCAAATAACTTTGAATTAATAAAAAAAAGTGCGGAGATACTCATCGCCGACCACGTGATCGCAAATGTTCTCTGAGAGCAAACCTGTCGCCGAACCCTTGAATAACTTAAATTATGAGACCACATGAAAGCCCGACTTTCACTTAGACAGGGCGCGGAAGCAGCTCTTTGTGCTTTTTATATCCACAGCCGAGATATCGTTTCCGATTTTTTTCGACGAGTTAAATTAACATTGCTCAGCTTTGCTTCCTGCGAGAGGGAAACTCGTGGCTCTTTGAATGACAGCACTCCGACGAGAGCCGCATTTTCCAACAAATCAATAATTCAAGTTTCACTATAATACTCGCGGGACCCGACCGTTCATTAAGGACGCACAGCTGCTGTGCATCAAAAGTTACGCTGTAGTTCGACGATGGATCAGTTCGCTCGCTGCCGAAACACTTTCGCTCGCGTTGATGACGCGGTCAGCGCTGTGACGGAGAGAAGCGATGCCAGGCAAGAGATTTACTCTTGGGGAGTTTTTAGTCCCTTGTAGTTTTTCTTTTCTTTAAATAGCACAAAAAACAGCTCGAAACAAAATCCGTTCTAATACCATCGGGGTTAATGTCCTGAATTTGAAGGCATTCAGGAAATGTACATTAACAGGTTGTTTTCATTGAGCATTTACTGACTATGAAAGCTTGTGTCTGTCTATCATTCCTGCCCGGCCTTGCATCTGCATGTTTAGACGCCTGCCTTGTCCTCTCACTCAAATGCCAGTCTGGCAGCATAAATACGCAGTCCACAAATATTTGAATTCCCTCGGCGGCACCAATGTATACACCGTTTTCTCGCCGACTCTGCTTCGTGTGGAGTCAACACAGGCTCCCAATACCTCACCGTTGCTCTTGACGAAGCCAACCATTGGCAGTGAACATCCCGCCCGTGGTGGCGTTTGATACGAACAACTCATTTTAATTGCCATTCCACGTACGCGTGTTTCCCCGAACCGAATGAAAGCAGAGCTCCCTGAACTTTAATGGGAATCGAAATGATCCCCCCCCACCCCCCTCATATATGTAACACAAAGTTGATCTCTGCAATGGCAATGCTCTACATTCAAGAGTACAGAATTTCCATTATAAAAGGTCATCATTTGAGGGCATCCAATGTTTATAATGCATTGCCAAGGATTTGTGCGTTGGAATTTGAACACTGCAATCATTTAGGCCGAGGTGGGTGTGTAAAAGGGAGGCAGTGGATGATCAAGATGTGCAACCATAAACGTTCACATGTAATATTTACCTTTGACCCAAAGAAATAACCAGTGACTGTGATTAAATATTAAGCCAACGCATTTTAACAATGAGTGGACAGCTGCCGAGGCCGTGTCGTCTTCCCGCTCAGCGACGGTGGTGACCAAAACGCACTGGGCCATACAAACTCACGGCCAAAGGGTAGCTGTCCTGGTGGCTGTGGGTTAACAGTCGACGCTGGTAAATGTTTAAAAGAGAAAATGGGATTCAGGATGTAGGATATAGATAAACAGATTCAAAGGCTCACCTTAAACAAAAATGGATAAACATTGGTACCTTTGGGACGGGTTGCGATAGGTCATGACACTAACCCTGGGGCAGCAGGGCCAAGGTGCAACTCACGGGCTATTGCCTTGCATTTCAATGAGAAAAAAAAACAACAGCCTAGTGTACACACTCGTTCGAGCATTACTTGATAGCTGGCTTTGTGCAAGATGGACATTATAGTACCAAATGTTGAATTGCGAAGACGAACAAGTGGAGGCTTTGTGTCACAGATTTGTTGTGATCATGGTGTGAATCGGACGCGAGACTGAGCCAATACGGAGCTTACCCACAAACGTATTATTCGTATTGTTCTCTCACCCTTTGCAGATATTTACTTCCATATAAAGTCAATACGTATGCCTGACATCGTTACTGCCCACTGTGAAATAACTCGTATTATCCATTGCATATATCAGTTCGTTGGATATGCGTTTCGTAATTTTTAAGTATTATTTATGCACTACAATGTACATACGACAACCTTTATATATCTGTGTGAAACGTTTGTCTCCGTGTGTGTAACGTCTCTGTACACTGCCTGTGGGCATGGATGTTTTTTTAAAGTTACGTGCTGCAGGTTCGCAGCGAGGTTTAAAATTCGTAAAAGTGAAATGCAACGACGGTAAATTACGAAGCTCCGCTGTTTTTTAGCTGCCGTACAAAAGTGAAATAATGCATGCTCTCGGCTACTTTACGCTCCGCCTATTTTCGTAAAGACAGTTTTATACACATAACTGACACCATAATTTTTAACCTAGCAGCGATTAAACACGAGAATGGGGGAATATGGGGTGGGTAGAAATGTGAAAATGATGTCAATGGAAGTCCAAGGGGGGGGGGGTGGGGGTGCAAGAAAATGCTTTATAGCTAATTGAATATGGTCTCAGGAAAGCCTAATTGCACCAATATCTCAAATGACTGAAACATCGCGTAACTCACACATCCACGCTCAAGTAGAATGGTTCTACAATGGCTGCTGAATGGAAGAGCCACATAATGTGCACATTTTTTATTTATATTTTTATTCGTTTGATGCATGGTGGAGAATTTACGTGAGGCAGCTTGACAGGTTTACATTAGCAAAAGCATTCCTGTCACGACGGTTTTATCCGGTTAAATGTGGCCGTTCATATATATTTATTTTCATAAATCCCCTGCAAAAGTCAATTTCCCCTTACTAAAGTACCGCAAAAAAGTGGCATTTTTAACAGGTGACACGAACGGGTTTAAAAAACAAGTAAATACGGTGGGTTTTTTTGACGTGAGAGAGATATTTCTAAATTGCCACTGAGAGGATCGGAAGACCTCGGCATTTCAGACAACAGGTTTTCCTTCAGCCACAGTCTTGGTTGTGGGTAGGTGGCAGTGGGCGGGGGGTCGTCTGAGATGATGAACTCACCGCGGTGCAATCAGTAAGTAATGAGGAAGTAATGAGTCTCATGTTGTCACGTCATTTTTGTTCTCGTGAACGCATTCCAAAACGTCACGTTTGGGTTTGCGAGCTGAAGTAGAATGAATGTTCTCATTGTCTGGACATCCCTAGCTCGCCATATAGTAAGTTTTAAATGTGATACAGCAATGTTATTTAGTGTGTAGAGCATGTATAATGTGATACAGTGATATCTTGTAAAACACATTATATGGGATAACGTTGTTACATGGATACAGTAGCGTGCTGATGTTTAGCAGATACTTTTTTTTAAAGAGCTTGTAGTGTTAGCTTGCTACTTTTTAAAATGAGCATGTGTCAGTGGTCTCTTTAAAGCGACATTGCAGGATGGCCTGCCTACGATCCATCCTGGTTGTAAGCTGAGTTGGCTGGGTTACGTAGCCCGCATGCCTAGCGACTAGGCTAAAAAAAAAAGCTGTCTCTGGTGTGGACCAATCAGTTTCAAGGACAATGCATATATTATCAGAGTACGTTTTTTGTTTGCATTCTGACCACAAGCATTGTGGTTAATGCAGACATGATTCCTTGTTAAAGGTTTCAGTTTGGAGTTTAACATCTTAACACCTGTTTTGTTAAATTTTGATTTAAAGCTTTCGTGACTGCAGGGATTCATCTTCTGGGTTCTTTCGGTAACGTCACGTAGAAGGGAAATAATAAAATAATAAAAATAAAACATAATAAAATAATTCTCACGACGTTTCGGCCACAACGCAAGCAGCCGTCTTCAGGTGAAGAACAGGTCTGTCGGGAAGACAGCGTCTGAATGAAACACCACCAGGCTTGGATCGTATATTTAAGCGGTTTTGTTGCCAAATAAAAGGGGAAAAACCTATATTAAGTGGAAATGTAAATACTGTATAGGCTATTTGATGCTTAAACATTTGTATGATCAGATCGCCTCGTGACCACTGTTGCCCTACAGTTCACATATGACTAAATATTATGTCAGAAATTATGCGGTAAAATGATATTGGTGTCTATAGTTTAGTTTGTGTCAAGTGCATAGAACATTTTAATTCCTCTCAGTTGATTCTGAGCAAAAAAAGTGACTTGTTTAAAAACCAGTGGTCTGGGCAATGGTCTGTTTACGTACGGTGCGAAAGAAGTTCAACATACAGTGCACACATTTCTTATTGAGTTCTGGAATCCTAGGATGGGGGAGGATATCTCTACCTGTCGGAATTGTAACGTTAACAGTTCATAATAACGGTGCAGGATGATAATTCATGAAACCAGGTGTGATGTAATGTGTGATGTAATGACAATGCACAATGAGTGGGGTGAGGGGCCTGAGATATTCGGGTCCCAAGCCAGGGCCCCATAATTCGGAATTAAATAAAACACATAAATATGAAAACACAAATATTTCCTTGCATAGTAAAGTAATTGTATTTTTTCATTTGCTATACAGCCAGATAATACGACAAATCACTAACCTTAAATACCCAGTCGTTCATAAAAATTGAAGGCGGTATAGTACTATAGTAATAGAGCAAGTGCAGAATCACTGAACCGGAATTGATAGCTTGAAAGCATTTAGCGCGGGGCCCGTAGCATATGTAGCTACTTTTGCTACGAGGATAATGCGGCACTGTTCGGGCTTCAACCAACAAAACAAATATGGTTCATTGCATTGGCTATGCAAACCTATGTTCTAAGTTATCCATCATCATTTTTTTTATTCAGGCAATGCACGGGCCCGTCACATCACGTTGCGACGCACGTACACACACAGTCAACATAAGCTAAACCGGTTATAGAAAAGCAGGGGATAGCAAGATGGGTGACGGACTTGCAGACGGCGTGCCACCGAAAGGCGATTATCTATCGTGATTTGTAACACTAACAACAACACGCAGTAACATAACGCTGAAGCTCACACTGCCGCCCGCCTGTACGTCACCGCCTTGCAGGAACTTCCATTGCCCAGCTGAGTGCCACTGACCCCGACGAAGAGCCACTGGCGTACGCGATCACGGGCGAAGACGGAAACTTCTTCTTCCGCGTGAACAGCTACACGGGGGTTGTCACCGTCAAAAACGCCCTTGACAGAGAGGTAATGGAACGAGCTTCGTCACATGCCGTGCGTTTTTCAGATATAAATGGCAGGGTGCTGAAAACGCCGTGAGTGTGGTGACGAGGGAGTTTTGTCGGTGGCCTCCTGCTGGCAGAAGGAGCGGATGAGATGGCCCGCATGGGGCCACGAGGCTTGTTGGCGGTGGTAGAACTCGGATTTAAACAAAGCAGAACAACAATTTCTGCGTAAAAAAAACCCCAAATCAACGGCCCCAGCAAAGACACCAACCAGAGTGTGTCTTCTGCACGATGACACAAATGCGCTTACGTTGGAAGTACTGCAATTGGCTTAGATGCTGCGGCTCGTGGGTGTTGCACTCCACTCGAGCGGTGAGATCGTACACTAGACAAAATCACCCATCAGCGATGTGCCCATAATGGCATTGTGGATCGTTCATAGATATTAATTTGATCGATGCCGCCCAAGTCGATCCATAAGAAACATCAACACTAACCGGGATGATCATAATTTGCGGGTTAATCGCTGTGTTGATTCATTGCCCATCGATCGAGTCATGATGTGACATGCCCCCTTCATTTGATTGGCTCATATCAGAGAGATCCTCGTGCCCTCCCTGCAACAATGATGACAACATGACGACAAGAGTGGCTTCTCTCATGTTCTAGACACCCGGTGTGAATGGATGGGTGTGAGTCGCCTGATCTGTATGCAGTCTTAACAGGGAAACTTCATCTGTTGACTTAGGACAATGCCGTGATGCCGTGATGGTGATCCTCGTTTGGTCTTGAAACTGAGGATTTTTCTTCTGTATATATATTAGTTATAGACGTAAGGTCAAGCTAATAACAGTGACATAGAAAAACGTTGACGGCATTAAAAATAAAGGATATTAGTCCAACAATATCTGCATCACCTTCAATCATTTCAAATTTTTCATATATTGTCTTTTGAAGTCGTTGATCGCAATTATAACTTGTACGTCTTCGTTTTATTTTTCAGACAAAGGAAGAAATATTTGTGATTTTCACTGTCACGGATTTGCAGTCGGTAAGTTCGCTCGCTGAAAATGGCTTCCCCTCCCCGTGACTCATCTCGACGTTACTACAATTTTCTATGAGCAGCTCTTTGATGAAGCACGGTAAATGTTTTGCCCTTTGCTGGTTGCCTCCAGCTCTTGTAAGCTGCCCAATACATTTGAACGCAACAGTTACTATCCCTTAATTAACTCGCCTTTTGCCCGTCCAGGGACGGGTGTATTCCAGTAAATCTGAAACTTGCAAGCAAAAAATTAACCCGTAATCCTTTATATGCGTGGCGGCTAGAGTCCTCTCGTCCTCTGGTTTGAGATGGCTGCCACCTATGGGTCAGATGATTGTCTGCCACAATTAAGCAATTGGTAATTAAATATTTAAAAAAAAATTCCCTAAACAGTGTAAAATGTAGGAATTTTTTTCATGAAAATTAATTGTCAAGCACAACGAGTCTGTGTGCAAAATGTCAGCTTGATTGGATCACGGGAAGTGGGTTGAAAAACGACTGAAAGATTTGGACAGTCCTAAGCAAGCAAGCAAGCACGCAAGCACGCAAGTGAACTTAATATAAATGATTTAAAAAGCAGACCGCGACGTGATATTCATTGCATCAATTCATGTGCAGTTTTTAAGGGCGCAGTGACACAGACTTATTTCATTTTAAGGTTATAATCCCTTGTTCATCATGACGTCCTTATTACTTCTATGTCTCAATAGCGTTACAGAGATCGCGTGACGTGAGGGTTCTGCCTTTGTCGTGAGGGTTGTAAGTTGACGATGAGGAGGGGGAGGAGGCGCCTCGCCCCCCCCCCCCCATGTGGAGTGACGTCACCCACTAATTATTATTAATGGTGGGGGGTGTCCATTTGGAAGACGTCACCTGCTCATGATTATTAATGAGGGGGTGGGGGGTGCTACATGTGGAGTGACGTCACCCGCACATGATTATTAATGAGGGGGGGATCCATGTGGAGGACGTCACGTGTTCATGATTATTAATTAGACGGGGGGGGGGTCCATGTGGAGGACATCACGTGTTCATGATTATTAATGAGGGGGGTTGGCCGACGTGGAGTGACGTCATGCGTGGGACACACAGACATTCTTGGCTCATAGTAGTGAATTACAAGTCATAGATCTTCTATAATACAGTTTTTTGGGTTCGATCGCATAAATATAAATGTGTCGTTAAACCTGCCACCACCCGACACAGACATTTAATGAGGTTTGTCACGTAAACAGAACATGCCAATTCGTTACTAGTACAGCACATCGGTGTGTTGGAGAATAAATCCACAACATTTACAATATGATTCCATGTGTAATGACAGGGTGACACCTGTCGGCCTGAAGGGGTAATTGTGGTTTTAGGGCTATTACGTAATGCCTTATTATAAGGGGGGCGTATCTAGGGTAAAGGTGAAAGGCGGAGTTAGTCCAGAGGCTCCGGGAACCTGCTCGAAGGTTCTGGAAGGTGGCATGGCCAGAGGCGGGGCTTGGCCGCGCTGGTGCGCCTATAAGGGGGGCCGAACTAGAGGTTCGGGTGCTGTTGCGGGTGCTGGGTCCTGGCTGCGTCGCTGCTCATGGTCACCTCTTAATTCTCAGACCACGTGGCTGTTCTTCATCAATACTCTTTCTGTCGCCGTCGCTGCGCTAGTCGGACAGCTAGCGTAGCATATGCCGGAGATGGGCTATGTGTTAGGATCGCCTATGTGTAGCTGCGTTACATAATGTATCGCCCCGTGTGCTTTCATTACACATGGAAGCCTTACTAATTGGTTGTGTCGGGTGGCGGCGGCTTTAACGACACATTTATATTTACGAGATCTAACCCCAAAAACCTGAGTTATGGATGATATTTACCTAGATTCGAAGCTTTTGTGACTGCAGGAATTACTCTTTGGTTCTTTCAGTAAAGTCACGTAACTCGTGACTTTACCGAAAGAAGCAAAGAATATGGATGATATTGGTTGCGAAAGCCTAAGTAATCGATCTTGTAATTAATAAACCCAGCATATAAGCAATAAACAAGCCAGACACAATATATATCTCGCAATACCAACAGAAATAACAAAATTAATATTACTCTGTAAATATGTACATGTACACACCTTAATCGATCCACTGCTGGGTGAGGGTCTCCCCACACCATGCAGATTATTTGACCATACTTTGCTACATTATAGCCAGTGTGGATTAGTGAAGGTGTGGAGCATAGACATGAGAGCATAATGCAGTACAATGGATTTTACTTCACTGCCCTCTACTTCCCTCAGCCCACATCAAATGTTTGATGCATTGTGGTGGTTACCGATCCAAACCACGGTGGTGAGATGTTAACTACCTTCCCTGGTGTGCAGGAGGTTGTGGGTTCGATCCCGTCCCTGACGCCTGTATATTGGGAGTTTGCATGTTCTTCCCGTGGTAGCGTAGATATTTCTCATAGTCTTCCAGTTTTTCCCTCCATACGGTATTCAGAATCAACATGCGTTTAGAGTATTTGGCTGCTACTATACATTTCCACGTGTTGAGCCACTTCGTTGAGCTATCATTGGTGGCCAGGTCGCTTCTGCTAAAAAGTGCAACAAAAGTCAGTGAATCGTCGTAGTAAGCAGTATACAGGCTAAAATACGTTTAACTCCGCGGATCTGATAAGGTCCGGATCATTCCAGGTCACGTGGGCATAGGCAAATGGCAATACTGTACATTTACAATTTTATTTTATTTATTACATACAATATACCCATATATACATTCATTTTAGCGCTTTCAAGGATATCAGTCATTGAATCAATGTTTCATAAACTGCACTATTGATACATGTATGTGTGCATGCGTAAACACACTGCCTTTGGAAGTCACACAGGTGGACATAGAAAACCACGTTTGCAATAACAAGTTCAGCGCGTGTGCAGAAGATAAGCTCTGACCAGAATTGGCTGGAAAGTAGCATTTAGCCATGCCGTGTCCGGGTTAATTTCGCGAGCTGTTTGGGGGGGATTGGACGTTTGAATGACTTGTGCCGTCAAATGGTGACAGCGCGGCCCTTCATTTCACTGTGACACGGACAGGGTCATCAGATGAGACGTGTTTACAAGATGGCCCGGGCATGCTAGGAATAGCAACATGCATCGCACATCAGACTTGTGTCTGGACAGAATTGAGTTAGCAGCCCAATAAGAATCGCTCCTAATGTGGAACACGGCAGCAGACGCTGTTGGAGCAGGTCGTGTTGGAGCACAGGAGGGCACTGGCTTGGTGTGGGTGTCGGTGGGTAGGGTGACCGTGCACCGGCTGATGAACATTGGTTTCTTTCGGCTCTCAAGTTGCCTCGGTGGTGCCTGTGTCTGAGCTTTGTGTTCTGCGCCAGGTCTACAATTGAGATGCTACGAGGCTAAAAATATACAGACGTTGCTGCCAGGCCATCCCATGCGCCACAGGCAGCACAGGTGCCCATAATTACCACGTGACTGCTTTGTGACCAGAGCTGATGCTTTGTGCACCAAAGGTGTGAATGTCGTTGTCCAAATAGATATGTCAAATGGGTGACTTAAATCAACTCAAGTTTGTTGCCCCGAAGCATACGTAGTTTATTTCTTAAATGTGCGTAAACTGGCATTCATAAGGTTTGACATTTCTTGGAAATCAGGTCACTGGATGGTGCCTTTTATTGTTGCGAGGCACAATGCTTCAATTCGTGTCAACTGCTTCCAATCAATAACTCTACAAAATTATGTCGGATCCTGTTAATTCCATTGGATAGCCATTCGTATGTGATATACATGTGTAATAAAGGATTCTTAGGCGATGTAGGTCTCCGTCTGTCCTTTACTGGGTTCTTGTCTCGCACCCCGCGATGTCCCCGGTCGGACCCGCACCTCTTCCGTCGCGTGCCCCTGCACGCTGTTCGAGTCCTCCGCTCTCTCTGCAGCCACACCGCTGCCCGTGTGCCCCGCACACTCTGCAGCCACCCCGCTGCTCCGTGTGACTCCGCACACTCTGCAGCCACTCCGCTGCTCCGTGTGCTCCCGCACACTCTGCAGCCACTCCGCTGCTCCACGTACACCGCTGGCCGACGGTGCCATGACTCCTACCACGTGGCAATAGTGCCACTCCTCCGCCAGCACCCCGCGTGGCTTCTCCTATCTCTCTCTCTCGACTCCCGATCCCCTTCCGGTTCTCACCCTATATCCTCCTCCTCACGTGACCCTGACTCCTCCTCCTCCTCACGTGACCCTGACTCCGCCCCCACTTACCCCGACGACCAGGCTCCGCCTCCCCTATACTCCGGCCCGCGTGAGTGGTGCGGAGGCAGCGCCCACCCTGTCCTTGCTCGCATTACATGACCCCCCCCCCCCCTGATGAAAACCCAGCCGTCCCCAGCTGCAACAGAACAAAATAATGCGAGCAACCATACAACAATCAGGCATCACAAGAAAAACGGAGATTATAACAACAACAATTAACGAAAGGAAAGGGACTTGGAATGCGTGCGGGTCGCCGGCCCGTCCCGAACGGGGGGCGGCCCCCGGACAGACCGCGACCGCGACAGGGTTTTAGGAGCGGCGGGATTGGAACCGCCCGCCGCTGTTGGAGGCCTGTCAATCCAGAGTCCCGTTCCCCAGAGAGACCCATCGCCGGGGTCTCCTGCAAATGCGTCCATGGCGGGGTTGGAGGGGCAGCGGGGTCAAGTGTCCCCGTCGCTGTGGTAGGCCCACCCGGAGCAGGAATCACTGTATCCGTCTGGGTCACGGCCGGTCCGTCTGTAGAAGGCACGACAGGCACGCTTGCAGGTTGAACAGGCAAAGTCAGTGGCGCGTCGGATGCAACAAACACCGGCAAGGCAACATTAGGAGATGACGCATCCATCTGCCGGGCCACGTAGGGTTTCAATCGAGACGTATGGACGTACCAGCGCCGTGATCCGAAACGAACACGTGCGGACTGCGGACTAGGAACCTCAATAAGCACAACCGGCCCCTGCCATGGTTTGTGCAACTTAGGGGAGGTCCCCAC